ATAAAATAAAAGATCAAGTGCTCACAAGGTTAAATTTCCTGAAAGCCTTACTGGATGTAAGACAAAGGCGGGGTATAAAACGAAAATAAAAGTATGCTGAGTTACAGAGGTCATTCTATCTTACTCTCTGCACTCAAGACTGCTCCTGTCTGCTGACAGAAACAGGTTGGTTTTTTCTTTCTTTTTCCATTCAGACTTGTATATGATTTTTTGTTAAGCCCAAAGGTTTGGTATATTTATGTATGTAGAGGGACTCTTGATGCATAAAAGTTTACATGTGCAGAAAAGAGCTATTTGAAAATTTATACATGTTAACCTTAAAACAAAAATATGAATATAGCAAGAAGAAAATATTATTTTAATACCATTACTTGCCTATAAAACTTTGTTAATAATAGGCTTTGCTATATCATTTTTTCCTGCTTTGTTTTATTGTTAAATTTTTTTATTCTTATGATTGATAATTACAAAGGCATTTAAATGTGTTTCTATGTTTCTGCCAGAAGGATCACTTCTGCAAATAGTTTCCATTCCTACGCTTATTTATTCATATTTTTAGTATGATTAATTCTTTTAAAATATCTTTCCTTAATATCTTATACTGTTTGGCCATATTATATCTTATCACCGGGTTCAAGATTTGTGTGATAAAAGAGAAGGAAAGAACAAAGTTCCCACCATATTAATAATTAACATATAAGAAAACGAAGACTAAAGTAGTCTTCCAGATTGGAACTTTTCAAATAACTTTAAGGATAAAGGGAGACAGAAGGGCTAAGGAAAAAGCATAACAAAACTCAGCACTATAATAAAAACACTGAAAGTTATTATTATATATATTTTAAAACTTGTGAATTCTGTGCAAGCTTATCTTAATACTACCGGGTGTTAATAGCCAGTACAGTAGAATAACTTAATGAAGAGACATGAGATTCCTGGAGTATCATCCTTCCATTCTAGAGTAATAGCTTTATACCTATTGGTAAAACCTTTAGTTTGACAAATATTTGCTGGGCACCTAGAGTGAGCCAGGCACTCTCTTCGGGTATTAATTATAAACATAAATCCAACAGGTCATAGTCTTAGGGAACTTAGAGCACAGAGGGAAAAGGTAGTCTGAGAAACATGTCTTCCATAGGATGGGGTCAGTTCTCTGAGAGATATGCAGATACAGTTATTGGATTGGGAAAGTCTTCTGGAGAGGTGACATCTAAGTTAACTGGGTAGGAACTGGCCCTTCAAGGGAAGCGCAGGAAATAGTCCATCAGATAAAAGAACAGAATGAGTAATGATGTAGACATGTGCTGCAGCATGGTGTGTGCCAGAAAATCTCTGGCAAATCAATATTGTTACTGTCTACCGTGCAGGCTGCACAGTAGAGGGATGTAGCAGGAACCATGGGTAGGACAACATTATAGAAGGAGCCTTGGGTATCATGGTAAGGAGCTTAGATTGTATCTTTCAGATGAAGGGATGTGCCTTTCAGGTGAGGAGCTAATAAGCAGCAGTGATGGATTGACATTTTAGAGAGAGCACTCTGATGGCAGTAAGAAAAATGTTTTGACAAGGAGGTGGTAAGGAGGAATAAGAACAGTAGGATGGGGCTTCCCTGGTGGCGCAGTGGTTGAGAGTCCACCTGCTGATGCAGGGGACATGGGTTCGTGCCCCGGTCTGGGAAGATCCCACAGGCCGCAGAGCGGCTGGGCCCGTGAGCCATGGCCGCTGAGCCTGCGCGTCCGGAGCCTGTGCTCTGCAATGGGAGAGACCACAACAGTGAGAGGCCCATATACCGCAAAAAAAAAAAAAAAAAGAACAGTAGGATGCCACGTGGGAAGATATTGTAATAGGCCAGGTAATAATGATGGTCGAATTGTGTGGATGTGTCAAGGAGCACAGATTAAAAGGAAGAGACAGATTTGAGACCTATTTGGGAGGTAAAATCAGAATTTAGGGGCTGACTGGAAATCAGGGTTGAAGATAAGAGATAAATCAAGGATGGTACAGGCTGAAGGCTTAGGTGACTAGTGGAACAACAGTGCTACCAAATAGTAGTTTACAATCAGCATGTAGTGACAGGTTTTGGAGGGAAGCTAACTAGAGGAGACTTTGTTTTATAAAAGCCAACCAGTAAAATTAAGTAAAATGCTGAGATAATATATTTAACTTATTTTAAAATAAATTCATAAATATATAAAAATAATATTTATTTTAAATAAATAAAATTATTTTAATTTTAAAATTTAATTTATTGTCAATATACTGTGTAAGAATCACAAAGTTATACATGTAAAAGTTACAGGGTTTAATGATTAATAAAATTCCCCAGGGTATTATTTTTATCTTCCCTCTGTAAATCCCAGCTCCTGTACACAAACTTGTAAAAACAAGGGATGAAAAACTACTCTTGGGGATATATTCCAACGTGGCTTCCATTAAAGAGTTTCAAAGAGTGGCAGGTTCAGGCTCACATATGTTATGGCAACAATCTATTCTCTAATAAAAGAATAAAACATATGCTAGATCAAAAGCATTTCCACTTAAGCAATATTAAAATAAATATCCTGTATTCTTTTTGCCATTTAGATTGGAGCCATGGCTTTGGAACACAACCAGTCAACAGATTACTATTATGAGGAAAATGAAATGAATGACACTCATGACTATAGTCAGTATGAAGTGATCTGTATAAAAGAAGAGGTCAGAAAATTTGCAAAAGTTTTCCTGCCTGCCTTCTTCACAATAGCTTTCATCATTGGACTTGCAGGCAATTCCATAATAGTGGCGATTTATGCCCATTACAAAAAGAGGCGAACCAAGACAGATGTGTACATCCTGAATTTGGCAGTGGCAGATTTACTCCTTCTATTCACTCTGCCTTTTTGGGCAGTTAATGCAGTTCATGGGTGGGTTTTAGGGAAAATCATGTGCAAAGTCACTTCAGCCTTGTACACGGTCAACTTTGTCTCTGGAATGCAGTTTCTGGCTTGTATCAGCATAGACAGATATTGGGCAATAACTAAAGCCCCCAGTCAATTGGGAGTGCAAAAACAATGTTGGCTCATCTGTTTCTGTGTCTGGATGGCTGCCATCTTGCTGAGTATACCTCAGCTGGTTTTTTATACAGTAAATCACAAGGCTAGGTGCATTCCCATCTTTCCATACCACCTAGGAACATCAATGAAAGCATCAATTCAAATTCTGGAAATCTGCGTTGGATTTGTAATACCCTTTCTTATTATGGCAGTGTGCTACTTCATCACAGCAAAGACGCTCATCAAGATGCCAAACATTACAAAATCTCGGCCCCTCAAAATTCTGCTCACAGTGGTCATAGTTTTCCTTGTCACTCAGCTGCCTTATAACATTGTCAAGTTCTGCCAAGCCATAGATATCATCTACTCCCTGATCACCAACTGCGACATGAGCAAACGTATGGATGTTGCCATCCAAATCACAGAGAGCATTGCACTCTTTCACAGCTGCCTCAACCCGGTCCTGTATGTTTTTATGGGAAACTCTTTTAAAATCTACATCATGAAAGTTGCCAAGAAATATGGGTCCTGGAGAAGACAAAGACAAAATGTGGAGGAGATTCCTTTTGATTCTGAAGATGCTACAGAGCCAACCAGTACTTTCAGCATTTAAATATAAAACTGCTCTGTCTCTTGCTTCGATACACATGAATGAGGTTTCTCCCTCAGATCAAACATCTGCATTTTTCTGAAATTCAAATCTCAAACACTGTGGTGGCAACTTATAACAAAGAAGAGGTTAGGGTGGGGAAGGGGAGTGGTGTAGAAGCCAAGAAAAAAAAAATGCATAAAACATGGAAATTAAAATTAACAATATAGGAAAACTGTAGTAACAGTCATACATAAGAAAAACACTATAAGTTAGGTCATCTAAAACAGATTATTAAAGAAATTTAAATTAAGGGGCATTTATAATTATTTTAAATTATCTAAATTTTAATATAAGAACAATTTCCCTGCATAATTTTAGTACTTGAATAACTATGCAGCAAAATTCAATGTCTTTTTCTTTCTTGTTTCTTAATTTGTAAGAGATTTCATAAAACTCCAGAGAGAATAACAATTGGCAATCAAAACAAAACAAAACAAAACAAAAACATAAAAAGCTTTTCTGGCTATTGTAATATATTACTGGTATGTTTCTAAACATGTAATTTGCTTTTATGATGTCAACTTTCTTTAGTAATAAGCTGGTTATCCTGTTAGATTTATCATTTATACTCTAGAAGCAATCCTCAGACAATCACATTTATCTAGGTTTCAATTTTTATAACTGCCTAAAGGGCTCATCCATTTACGTGAGTTAATGACTGAGGGTTGACTAAATAATATATTTTCCTATGTCTAAAGACTCTTTTTTTTTTTTTCTTTTTCGGTACTCGGGCCTCTCACTGTTGTGGCCTCTCCCGTTGTGGAGCACAGGCTCCGGACGTGCAGGCTCAGCGGCCATGGCTCACGGGCCTAGCTGCTACGTGGCATGTGGGATCCTCCCGGACCGGGGCACGAACCCGTGTTCCCCGCATCGGCAGGCGGACTCTCAACCACTGCACCACGAGGGAAACCCCAAGACTCTTATTTTTCACTTAAATACTTGTATTTTTAAACAATGAAAATATGTACCACAATAAATTATTTTTAATAATATGGACTGCTTATCTCTTTAAAAACAATTATATATAAATTATTATAGTCCATGTAATATGCCCCTATTAAAATTTAATTTTGATAGAAATGACAATGGTCAAAAATAGTGTGCACTAATATAAATTTTTTCTCTCACAAACTGTAAAAAAAAAAAAGACGTTTTCTGCTCTTAATTTTAAAATTACTTTTCTTTTTATCAACTATTTCTAAATCTGAAAATGCTTTCGAAGACAGAATTTAAAGAACTGTGGTCATGAAATGAATAACTATGTATCTTATTATTCTAGCACAGTATCTGGCATGAAGAATCAATAGAATACTCACCAGTGCACCACCATTTCTTGCCGTTAATTACATAGCTATCTCCATCTTGCTGGATGCTACATTCAATATTTGTGGCATCACTTGAAGCTACATCGGGCTCTATAAATAAGCAAAGGCTGAATTTACAGGCAGGCAGACACCATTAGTTTACAAAAGACACTTAGTTAAAGAAATGTGAACTCTTTGAGGACAGAGGCATCTTTGTCTTTTTCATCTTCCTACCCTTCCCCCATTCCTCCTGGTTCTCCTACAACCTACACATAGTAGGTATTCAATAAATGTGCATTGGAAAAATGAATGAATAAATGAAGTATTTAGAACAACTCAACATAGATCAACTATCTGAATTGTGTTCTTGGCATCCTCAGTGATATATGACTTGGGATACAACTCAATCTTTTCTCCAATCATCAAATGTGCATTAAAAATATCGTTCTTGGGTTTCCCTGGTGGCGCAGTGGTTGAGAGTCCGCCTGCCGATGCAGGGGACGCGGGTTCCTGCACCGGTCCGGGAAGATCCCACATGCCGCGGAGTGGCTGGGCCCATGAGTCATGGCCGCTGAGCCTGCGCGTCCGGAGCCTGTGCTCCGCAACAGGAGAGGCCACAACAGCGAGAGGCCCAAGTACAGAAAAAAAAAAAAAATCGTTCTTTACTTCCCACAATGAAAATCTGTACTACATATTTGCAAGCCAGATTTCCCCACCATAGGTTTAGTATCTTAAACAACTTCTTTTTTTTCTTTTTTTTAAAATTAATTTTTATTGGAGTATAGTTGATTTACAATGTCATGTTAGTTTCTGCTGTACAGAAAAGTGAATCATATATCCACTCTTTCTTAGATTCTTTTCCCATATAGGTCATTACAGAGTACTGAGTAGAGTTCCCTGTGCTATACAGTAGGTTCTCAGCAGTTATCTGTTTTATATATAGTAATGTGTATATGTTAATCCCAATCTCCCTATTTATCTTCCCACTCCCCTCCACCGCTTTACCCCTTGGTAACCATAAATTTGTTTTTGACATCTGTGACTCTATTTCTGTAGTATCTTAAACAACTTCTAACTGCAAATTCCATCAGGAATGCTTTCACCAATCTATTTATTTTGCATTCTATAAAGCTTGCTCAACACTTAATGTCTTCAGAAAGTTTTCCTCAAACACACCCTGTGCTTTTTAACTTCCACATGTTTGCTTGGGCCAGGCCTTCTCTCTGGTGAATTTCTACCTGTCACTCCTAAGTAAACTTCTGCTTCTTAGCCATCTGCATTGTGAAGACTCTCCAGGTACCCAATCAGAAATATCTCCTTCCTTTGACCTCACATAGTAATTATTGTCTTTTTACCGCTGACACTGCTCTTACTTTTGTGATCCCATACCACCTAGAAAAGTACTAGGTAACATCTCAAGGATGCTAAACACGGAATCCCTGCCCTGGATAGAAAATGACAATAGATAACTTCAAAGACCCTCTCCAGCCCTCAGAGGGCATTGTGCAATACATGATACACTGCAGTATCACTCTCAGGTGAAAAAGAATGCTTCATGTCTGCTGTGGAGCAAAATGCTCTAGATGCCTTTCTCTGATTTTAATTCCCATCAAATTTCTAAAAATACTCTCTAAAACTTTTCTCTTGAATGCTGATTACTTATAAGATTTTGAGGAAGAATTTTTCAATATCGTCTCTTACAATGATATTAAGGACAGCTATTGAAATGCCTATGAAAATTGAGCTAAGTCTAAGTTAAGTCTCTCAAAACATGTTTGTACTCTGTTCAGGCACTCCTAACAGGGCCCAAGTTATATTAAAATGCACACAATTCCTAGTAGATTAACACAAGCTTAAAATTGTTTTCAACTGAGGGAGAAAATGAGTCTTGAATTATAATTAATGAAGTTCATTGTTTTCTTTGCTTGTTTTAAATCCAGTGTTTCTTATAGTTCGAATGAGGTAAATATTGAATAAAAACTTTCCAAGAATTAGTTTATTCTGAGAATCTGACAAACCAAAGTTATCATTTATAGGTTCGTTAAAAAAAAAAGCCTAGATAAATTACTTGTACAAAAAGAAAAAATTTCCCCCAAATTAGCCTAAAGGCCTCCAAATTTTCTAGTAACGGCTTTAGAATTAAAATGACTATTTTCAACATTCCAATATACAATATTGTATGACTTATTGATGGGCAAAAAAACCAAACCAAAACAAAAGGCAAATCAGAAGACTACATATGTGTCCCATAATATTTTATAACTATTTGGGAAATAATTCGGGTATCTTGAGTAGAAATTCATCTCATATACACTTAAGAAAACTCTTAAGTATTTAATCGACATCAATCATATTCCCTTCATTATCTGCTTTGTATAAAGCAAAACACAGTGCTCTAAAACACAATAGCCCGAACGACTTCATGAAGATATCTCCACTACAAAGAGAAAATGCCTAGTTTTCTACCTGTGGTTTTATACATCTTGTTTGCTGAGGACAGTTGCTTATCATACTTTGGTCAAAGAAAATGTATTTCCCTTGCCAATTTTAAAATTTCAGCAGTTTGGTGGTATCATATTATAACCTAAAGACTAATGAAATTTTAATACTAGAAAAAAGTCTATGACCATCTAGTGAAAAGTTCATAGGTCAAAGGGAAAAATAGCAGCAGAGCTGCATCTGCAATGGATGCCTTCTATAGCATTATTTTTCATATTATGACCCATTAGTGTGTCATAAAATTAATTCAATGGAATATGACTAGCATTCTCTGAGAAATGAAAATAGATAAAAATAGAATACATTAGACTAGACTCAGTGGAAAATATATGAATTCATGAAGTAAGGGAAACTTGTTTCATGAAGCTTTTTTTCAGTAATATATGTCTCTCCCCTCATTTCCATAAATCAATCCATGAACACACACATACAGCTTCATACACTACATATTGGGTCACAATATAAAATATATCTTACTATGAGTGGCAATAAAAAAAGTTTTAAGCAAAAGACTACCAGTTCTCTTTCCACAAAATTATGCTATAATAGCTACGTATAAAGAGATAAAATCTTTAGAAACTCTGTGAATAGATTTATTTACTTTTACAGTAGCCTCATTATTGGATTAAAATGTAGTCATCAGTAAATAGACAAATCAGTGTTTTGAAGAGAGAAAACCATATCTGGGACAAGTTCAACCATTATCAGAGGTTTATGGACTATCTTAATAATTCCCAAGAAGCAAGAGTCAAAGTCCAGTGTGGAAACACTTCGAGAAGCAACTAGATTGTGTTTTCTCTGACATCCAACATAACTCTTTTGGGCACTTCCCCGCTTCACTAACTCTTTTTGGGAGGCTTCAGTACTTATTTGTGCAATAAGCACAAAAGGCAAAACTGAGGCCTAACTTGTGCAGGGACACTATAGGATATTATACAATTATCCTTCTACTACAAATCAAATGCCAGTCCTTGACTGGAAGCATCAAAAATAACCACAGCAACTTTGGGGAAAAAAGACAAAAGACATATCAAGTGTCTACCCTAGACCTACTGAGTCAGAATCTCCAGGGATGAAGCCTCTGAATCCGGATTTTTTCAAAGCTTTTTAGGGGGTTCCTTCTGCAAACTGGGTTTGAAAACACCTTCTAAAGACTACATTCCTGGTTTATTCCTTCCATATTACCTTTTTAAAGAAAAGTTGGTCTCCTTCCCTCATCCTTCCAATTTTTCATTCCAAAGTCCTTGAAGGCTTGAGTAATGGGGGAGTCATCCTTGACTCCCCCATTAATACCTCATAACCAATCAGGAAATCCTCTTGGCTCTGCCTTCAAAATATATTTAGAATCTTTCCACTTCTCACTCCACTGCTACTCCCTTGAACAAATCCCCATCATCTCTCACCAAGACCATCACAACAAGACTCCCTGCTTACTTCCTTCTCTCCTTTTGTTAATTCTCAACATAGCAGCCACAGGGATCCTTTTAAAACTGAAGTGACATCTTGTCACTCCTCTGCTCAAATCCCCATTTCACTGAAAGTATAAGCACTCACCTGCCCTATAAGTCCCAACATACAAGGCCCTTTCCTCTCTGATATCTTTTGCTATTCTTTCCCAGCCACACTGACATCCTTGGCTATTCTTGAAATACACCAGTCACACTCTTGCTTTAGGGCCTTTGCATTTTATGTTCTCTGTGCTATGAAAACTCTTCCCCCAGATCTCAGCATGATTAACTCTCTCACCTTCTTTAAGTCTTTACTGAATGTCATTTTCTTAATAAGGCCTATTCTGAGCCTTCCATCTTAAATTGTTATACACATTACCTGTCCCTCAGCACTCCAGAGCTCCCCTACCTTGCCGGTTTTTTTTCCCCAAAGCACTTTTCATCTTCAAACTTACTATATAATTACTTATTTAATCTAGCTATTGTTTATTTTTGTCTCTCTCTATTAGAATGCCAGCTCCATGAGGCAGGAATCTTTGTGTATTTTATTTCATGATAGTTCCTAAAATAGTGCTTGGCATATGGTAGGCAACTGATAAATAATTGGTGAGTAAATGGAGAGATAGTGAGGCTAACCAAAAGATTTAAAACTCTATCCATTCTAACTAACCATAGATATGTTTAATACCGTTAGAAAACTGGAAACCTTATATGGCCAATCCCTTTGGTGGTGACTTCTATTCACTAATACTCTTAGTGTAATGATGTTTAATAAAAGAATAATCCAATGAGAACTTTAGGTCCATTTTAAAAAATATTTAAATAATAGTAACTGAAAGTAAAATTATAGACAAATTTATAAATCAATGACTTTGCGTAGAAAAACCTCCTTGTCATAAAATAGAGAAATTTTAAACACTGCTCAAAATATCTGAGAAAAGTTCTGTTTTTAAATAATGTAGTAACCTGGTGCTTGGCAGTTAAAGACATCTGGAGCAAAAAAGCATTTTCCTGTTTCTTCAGCAATCAAGGCATAGTCTACGTGGCTGAGACTGCTTACAGCTGGCAAAAACAAGTTCCAGAGGCCTTCTGCTTTGGCCATTTCCTGTCAAGGTGATGAATATGCCAGAGTTATCATAATTTATCATGACCTAAAATTATTTATTTTTAAAAGATACTGGTATTTATGCCTTTTGAACTTATGAAATTATTTATTTCATTGTATTCTACAATGCAAGTAGTTATTAATTCATTATAAATCAATTTCTTAACAGTTAAGCTTCCTTAGATTTGGCTGAAAACTCAGTTTGCTTACTTGAGTACTTCTTATTGAATCACAGTGATTATAAAATCTCCTACATCTGAGCGTAATTATGCCAAATATACTATTTTGTCCATTTCAATTTCTAACGTGTTAAAATCTGAAAACATGAAATTGGATTAAGCCCATGTGGGAAAAATACCCTGCCTCAACTTCAGTCTCAAGTGACTAGTGCTGATTGTATTTTTAATTTGAACAGCTGTTAAGAGGCTGTCTTCTTCATCACATACCATACACAACACACTATGTAACCTAATTTGTATATTACAGATTCTATTTTTAACTTTCTTTTTAAAAAGTTATAATTGATGTAATTATCCTCTACGTATATAACAACAGAAGCAACAACAAACTAAGGTCTCAAAAAATGCCTGTATATAAATTCTCCACTTTTAAGGTTCTCTTATTTTTCTTACCTTGAGTTTATCAATCACTAAAGGTTTTTTCCACTTGTCTACTGAATTTTCATTTTGAACATAGAACTCAATTACCTCCTTAAAGTATAAAAGGAAAAAAAGTTCATTAGTTAAAGTTAGAAAAGTAAATAATGCCATAAACTGCTAATATCCAAAGTAAACATGCTTAGGTGAAGAAGCTTTTTCAGCTGCTACTGAATCAGTAAAATTTCTTTCTGAAACCAGACACAGAAGTATAAAAAATTCTAGATGTTTGCTCCTCACAAAATTATGCTGCCTCTATATTAGAGGATTAACTTTCAAAATCCTATATACCAAGATTTGAGTGTTCCATTTTCAGCAATGTGGCATACTAGATGGTCATAGAACCCCTCCCAGGATAATACAACTAAAAATGCTGGGTAAAATATTAAAAATAATTTATAAAATACATGTAGTAATAATACATAGCTATGCTGGAAAGAAAATAAGGAAATTCCTCAGAGGCCAGGAATACAAAAGCCTGACTCTTCAGGTGTGAGTGAGCACTGGAACCAACTTTGTCTGGGGGATGTAGGCTGATCTATGTTCACCTGGGCCCTAGTTTGCAGTGGGCCACATAGGCAGGGGTCAGGAGGTGAAACCAAATGCCCCAAACAAGGCAAAAGGGAGGATCAGAGCTCACCACTTCCCTCCACCAAAGCCAGGATGCCTGATCAGCAAAACCTAACTGGAAAAAAATAGAAAACAAAACCAAAAACCCACCCCTCAGTGGTAGACCAAGGGAATAAAGGCCATTCACAGGACGGAAGAGAAAAAAGAAACATTTCTAACCTGAGTCTGTCTCCACCCAAGTTTGAGATCTTAATTCACAGACCTATGGGGCCCTAAAATTTTGAGTCAAAAATTAAGTTTACAGTGTTCCTGGTGACAATGCTTGAAAGCACCTGGCAGAAGCAAAAGCAAATTCACTCTGGAGGAAAAGAGCTTTTATAAAAAGTCTTAACTAATCCCTGCAGATAAAATTCCATTCCAAAGAACATGAGTTCAGAATGAAAAAATACTAAACACTCAAGGTAACAAGCCACCATTAGCAAGAATTAACAAAAACAATAGTTCAACAAAACAGAATCACACCTGCAAAGGCCAGATAGAATAATGATCAAACACAGAATATAAAGTATTTGTGCCCAGTAGATTTCAAAAATAAAGGAAGGAATTAAAAGGATGACAAAGGATTATCAAACTTGGCCAGACAAAGTTGAAAAAGAACTGAATGCAACTTGAAGCAAAGTAAAACCATAGTAATTAAACTTAAAAATTCAATGGCAGTGGTTCTCAAACTTTGGTGGCATCAGAATCACTTGGTTAAACACAAGAGACCAGGCCCTATCCTACTTCAGTGAGTCTACTTCTGTATTCCTATTTCTGTAATCTTAACTAGCCCTCTAGGCAATTCTGACACAATCCAAATAATGAGACCCACTGCTCTATGCAAGTTTGAAAAGTAGATTAGATACAGCCAAAAAAATAATAATAATAATAAATTGAAAGAAGGATCTGAAGAAATTATTCCTTTCTTGAATGAAGCACAGAAATTCAATAGAAAGAAAATATGAGTGGTTAAAAGATATGATGATACAGAGAGAATCATTACTTCCCTTTTCTCAGGCAAAAAAAAGAAAATAAAAGGAAAAAAAAAGGTAAAAGTTTATTAGCAGATTCTCATTAAAGGAGCTTGATCCAAGAAGAAACATCTGAGTTGTAAGAAGGAATAGTAAATAAGGTGATAAATACATGGGTAAATAGATATTTAAAAACTAGCCACATAAAAAACAATACAATAATCTCTAATTTGTGCAACTAAATCAAGATGAACTAAAATATTGGACTATAAGGGCCTTCTCCAATATTTTGCTATTAAAGCATCTCTGTACTTATTTTCTACACATAGGCTAGTAGAATTACTGAATTAAAGGCTATGAACATTGGCCAAAACTCCAAATTACAAAATTATTTTCTAAAATTTACAGTCATATAAGTAATATGTTAAAATGTTCCTTTTATTGAAGCATGGCTAGTCTAGAATACAGTTATATATATTTTTTCTATTTAAAAAACTCTTTATTGAATATATAAACTATATATTTTTTAAATATATAAACTAAAATGATATGGATGATGTAGTGCATTTGTAGATTTCTTGTTTTCTTTGTTTACATTTTTATTGGAGTATAATTGCTTTACAATGGTGTGTTAGTTTCTGCTTTATAGAATACAGTTATATTTAGTTAAAACTTCAAGAAGACAAAGGATGGCTCTTTCACAGGCACCAGGATGAATAGCACTTGTCATTTTGTCAGGAAGTCAGTTAAGTTGGAAGATTTCCTGTTTAGGGTTGTTTATTATTTCCATCCCTCACATTACTATGGAAATAGTCAATGCAATTGTGTTTGATAAGATATATGTTATGTAATACATGTACAAATTCCCCATCTGTGACTACTTCTTTATGACACTACAGTTCTGAGAAATTAAATTATGCCATTTATATAATTATTTAAAAATTTGTATTATTTAATACTTCCTGTTCTAAAGTCTATCAATTTGGAGATTTGCAAAATCTATTTGTGGTATGGTAGGAGTCAGAATTAAAATAAAATATCTCATTACAAAGAAGCTTTCTTTAATTCTTTAAGTATGAACAAGAGTTTACTGATGAAAAAAGAAAGCAGAAAATATGCTTGGTGCCTGATCAATTCTCCCCAAATATCACCTTTAACATCTAATTTTCTCATTCACTGATTGAGATACTGCTTTGTATTATGTTGGTTCAGAATCTTAAATCCTACAAATCTTAAAGCCTACAAATAATTTTGCAGTATAATATGTTTTTTACTTTAACTTAAGTCAGTTAGAAAAAAAGAAGCAACAGTTCCTCCCTAGTATATTATTAAACTCAGTAGGAAAATATGACTAATGTTATCATTATGTTAAAAGTGTGTTTCTCAGATATGTCATGTTGCTGCTTCCTGTTTTACATGCTATTTTATTAGGACTCCTCATCCATTTTAAATAGCAAGAATTGCCCCTTTTTTAAAATTTCTTTCTTTCTTCCAGTTTTATTAAGATATAATTGACATATAGCACTGTATATCTTTAAGGTATATGGCATAATAATTTGACTTACAAACATCATGAAATGATTATCACAATAAGTTTAGTGAACATACATCATCTCATATAGATACAAAATTAAAGAAATAGAAAAAATATTTTTCTTGTGATGAGAACTCATATTTCATATATAACATACAGCAGTGTTAATTATATTTATCATGTTGTATATTACATCCCTAGTATAACTGAAAGTTTACACCCTTTGACTACCTTCAACCAATTTCCCCATCTCCCCTGAGGAAGAATTGCCTTTTAACATTTAAATGGATGATGGGTTCTGATGTTCTTACTTTATGATATCCAAGGAGTTTCAAAAGGTCATTAGAATAGCATAAACTGACCTTATTTTTTCCCATTATAGAAAATTGGAAAAATACATAAAGTATTAAGAAAAAGTCATCAAGAGTCTTACTAGCTAAAGATATGTACTATCAAGATGTTAGTGTATTATATGATACAATCTTATTTTCTAGATATGACTGTTTTAGTTTTTATATATGTAGTTATAATCATATTGGATAGAATTTTATAGGCTTTCCCCCCTTCTATTTTGAAAAAGCTAATTACTTTTCAAATGCATATGTTCATAAACAGGGATTAGTACAGTCCAGAGTCATTTTACAGGATAAAATGTTTTTATGGATGTTAGTACAAGTTTTTAAAGAAAGAAAAAGCTCACATTATTAGATGTAGATATACTCCAGATTTGAAAGATCTGCAGACACAAAATGATTATGGCTTTCCTTGCCACACAAAATGTTGATAATCTTTCCTTTAAAACTAGAGTGCTTTTTCTTTTATCATAAAGCATTTTCCTTTATTACAAATTCTTTGTAATATTTTAG